ACGCTAGTGCATCGACGTCACATCTACATCAGCTAGAAGCACCACGTAGGTTGCGATCATATGGTCGAAAGTGGAAAGGTTGGTACAGTTATAATATTCATAAGGTTCTAATTCAAATAACATGACTGTAACAACTATATACACACACGGTAACTCTGTTTATACCATCATGATGCTATGTATATGGGTCTGAATTGTCACTAGTCATCATTCAAAACTTGTAGGCATAGTGTTATAACACACCAATGTCAGCTGCATATAAAACGGACACGACAAACTGAATTGAGTATAATAATTAAGTATGACTTTATTTCAACCACATCCAGATAAGCCTAATGTCATGTTAAGCCAATTGGGAAGTTACAGTGTGTTTGAAAAACTGTTAGTTACATCGTGTTTGAAGATTGTTATAAAATAGTTATTAAGAAGTTACAGTGTGTTTAAAGATTGTTACGAAAAAAATTACTTGGGACGTTACAAATTAAAAATTAATACAAAACTCCATATTTAAAGACTGTTTACAATGGGTTTATAGTTTGTTATAAAATTAGTTATTGGGAAGTTACAGTTTAAAAATTAATACAAAACTTCATATATGATGACTGTTAGTTACGAAGTGTTTGTAGGTTGTTACAAAATAGTTATTGAAAAGTTATAGTGCGTTCAAAGACTGTTACAAAATAGTTATTTGAGAAGTTGCAGTTTAAAAATTAATACAAAACTCCATATTTGAAGACTATTGGTTACGAAGTGTTTGTCGGTTGTTACAAAATAGTTATTGGGAAGTTACAGTATGTTCAAAAATTGTTACAAAATAGTTATTTGGGAAGGTATAGTTTGCAAATTAGTACAGAACTCCATATTCGTAAACTGTTAGTTACGAAGGGTTTGTAGGTTGCTACAAAATAGTTATTAGAAAGTTAAATGTTATTGAAAGTTGTTACAAAATACTTCATTGGGAAGTTAGAATATGAAAACTAATACAAAACTCCATGTTTGATGATTACATGTTACAGTGTGATTGTAGGTTGTTACAAAATAGTTATTGGGAAGTTATAGTGTGTTTGAAAATTAATACAAAACTGTTTGAAGAGTGTTAGTTACAGTGTGTTTGAAGGGCGTTACAAAATAGTTATTGGGACGGTTACAGTGAGTTTGAAAATTAATCGATTGATGTTTCTAGACTGTTAGTTACATTGTGTTTGAATACTGTTACAAAATGCTTTACAATTTGTTACACAACAACAGATAAATTGTATGTGAAATGCATGTTCTTTGTTTTTTAGGAGGTCCTGACGTTGAGATGAAGCACAAGTCTACACGTGCAACAAAGAAGAGCATCGTTCTGCGGTCAGCGAAGTTCATTCTACCTGCACCTGTGACAGTAAGCATGTACGATAAAAATGTGGTTGCATATGCATGGGACCCCAACAAAAATCCCAAGTAAAATTCTTGACAAAACTATTAATTCGATCTTGTGAGCCATTTTCTTCGATAAGTACGCATGTGGTTCATTGTAAGATGGCCCAGGAAAATAGTATGAAAATGGATGAGAATTGACTTCATTATTACATGTCCGTTTTTTGGAGTACGATTATTTTTTATTAGTAAATTGTTCAATTGTGGTTCGGATTTGATAGGGACATACTTATTCAAATGTTTCAATTCTCACTGACACGGCTTGACTTGAAGACACTCGAAAATGACATGCATGTATCGAATCGGGTCAGTAGTTTATTATGTTTATTAAAAAAATTTGAGCGTCAATTTATTGATTGATTAGTGATACGTAAACGCAATTGTAACAATCAATTACATGTTTTGGAAACCATTAGATATTGATTAGGTGGTTGACATGTTTGCCCGTTGCATGAATTGGGGTGGAAGAACTACCAAAAGTATGAAGTTTGAACGCTACATCGTTGAACCTCTAGCAGTTGTGAGTTTGAAATTTGGACTGTATCCTATTATGTGCTAAATTTTGTCAGCATCATATCTAAATTGGTTTTACGAGCCAACGCACTATTACTGATGTCTTTTACACTGCTCATACTCGTCCATGTTATTGGTTGCAGGAAGGAATTTTAAAAATGGAAAAATTCGATAAGCTGTCTGATGCCAGCTTATCTGCCAGCTTATCTGCCAGGTAATAGCACAAACAAGGGAAGAGGAAAGGTTAATCCAATATTAACTAGTTGTATTATCACTAGTTGTAACATCGGGGAATATCTAGTTGGAATATTATTCAGTTTTAAATACAGCAGACGAAAAGCTGCTGATTACAAATTCATTGGTTATAATGAATTGTAACACACACCTAACTGGTTGTAACACAATCCGTACATAGTGAAACGTACAGGTCATTGATGTGTAACTCTTTATACATATGACTCTAAATATTGGTGCACAGGTCATTTCATTACAAAATATGCATAATTTGTTTTATTGTCTGAACAGATTTGACATAGTTCAATGGCATACATCGAACTCTACAGTTTCTACCGCCATGACAAAATTGTTTGGCCTGGAATGCGTTGTCTAGGCATATTTTAGCACATTGTGAGGGTCCTGCGCACTGTAAAAGGGCGTGGTTACAGTATTATATCCCAGTTAGAGAAAATTTTTTTCGTTTTATTCTTCACACTTTCCATTTTATTCTACTGAAGGGTGACAATGAACCCGTGCCTGAAATTTGTTATTAGTATTCTTCAATCCTCCTCTAACTTCAATTGCAGTGTCATCAATAGAGGGTTCACACAGAAATCAAATTCTTGGGTGCCAAAGAACAGCCAGTAGATTGCATGATGTTCAGGAAGATCTCGCTAATTTAATGAAATGTTCGAGAAGATCTCGCTACATCAATTGTTTTGGGGTTCAAATCGGCCATCTCTATGTTCTTATTAGATACTTACTAAAGTGTCTAAGAAATTTTATGTGTTGGGGGGAGGACTTATTGTTTGTATCGAGGGCAATAGCACAAACAAGAAAAGAGGAAATGTTCATCGGATATTAACTAGTTGTAGTATCACTAGTTGTAATATCAGGAAATTTCTAGTTATAATATCACTAGTTTTAACTAGATATCGAAAAACTGTCAATTACAAATTCATTAGTTGTAATGATTTGTAAAATATACACAACTGGTTGTAACTCAAAATGTACATGGCGTAATCAAAATTTGTTGTATTTTAAATATTAGTTACCCTATTTTCAAATTAGTTCCAACGAAATATCATGTTCTTCTACGAAACTGTTACTTATTATGTGGTCAATGGAAACCAAGCCGAGCCATCAATTGTAACTTCATTTCTATACTGAAGGAGTAATACCTACTGATATAAGCTTGTGATACTATCCGTAATACTCATCCTTGTAATACAAAGATCCTCGTACATCAATGGTGCCTGTACAACCTCGTCAATAAGTTGTAACAGATTATTAATTGCTTGTAACATACATATGCAGAATTTTCAGGTTGGAACAGCCACTTAATGTCTCGTTCAAAAAGTATAGTTACACATCATTCATCAATCTCATTCTCGGGAGAGGCCACATCAACGTGTAGTTGCAATCCCTGAGTGTTATTTCCTCCCTGAAATGCAAAATGATGGCAAATCAGCAAATATTATTAATGAAACATACAATTAATGATATACGATATCCAAGTCTCCAATTAACAATATTACATAAACATGTGCTTTAATGATAAAAGTTTGTCACCTGCGGTGATGGTGCAAATACATGATATGTATCAACATCACAGTGTGTTGAAATTGCCGCACGCTCCTCCTACATTACGTAGTATAAGTAATTGACTGTCCACAAATCATTACCAGTACCTATATTGCTCACTTATAACGTTAAATTAGACTAGACATTATAACAAAAATGATATATCAGACCATTAAAATATTTATGACGGCGTTATGTTTGAAATAAATAGATAATCTGGGATGCATCCATTATGTAGGGACACTTGCAGGAGGCCCCTGATTAGTCAAATGGTGGAGGTTCGCATAATAAAAAATAATATGTTATTAAAGCGAACAGACGTTAACTACATAATTTGCATGATTTGACAACGTTCGGGTGCCCACAATTACAATTAAAGAAAAAAAGATAGCTCTACTACACGACCAAGAAGGTCTTTATTTTAACTACTAAATATATGCATACCGTTTCACTTTCATCGATATCAGGAGCAACAGCGTTTGGAGGGCCATTCACTGTCTGACTCATTGAATGGGTCTACGAGTTTCGTATGGGCCAAATCATTATATAAGACAAATAAAATAGGTATATCAGGAGGGATGACGGCCGTAACAACATTATCACACAATGTAACATCAATGTAACTATTTATGCTGCTAGAAACATCCAAATAAAAGCAACAGTCATGTCCATTTTATACTTATCGAAACAGAATCAGTAGATGAACGGCATCCCATAAACATGTATTCCTCAAATGAAACAGATGTCGGCTCCGATTCTGAGACCAACAGTATTGACACGGCAATAATATTATTTCATAATTAATGGTACCTAAACTTTAGTTAATAGTATAACGATAACTTAGTTTTAGCATAAATGTTTCCCAAGTACCAAAATTTGATCCATACCGTAGTCTGTATAGTCCTTGACAGTCTAGATTTTCTTTTTACTCTGTCAAATTTATCAACCCAATTTCGCATCATTCTACTTTTCTTCCCACCACCTCATTTTTTAATGCCTCTTGCGACTACTGCCTCTCTCATTTCATTTACAATTTCAATTTTATCCTATTTCTCGACATTCAGATTTTTTTGATTTTGCAAAGGTTGCTCTTCGCTTTCTGAGAGGAAGAGTTCAACTCTCTTTGCCAAATCGGATGCGACAGTGATTGCTATTTTACTGGTGTCCTCCGACATTGCTGTTCGAATTGCGACCTTAATCATGGCTGGAGCGAGCTCCCGGTAACGAGTTGAAATGATTGCTTTTGGATCAGCTATAATTTCCCATCCTTACCGATCAAAACAGTCTCCAGCTCGAGCTCTTCTTGTCCATCGTCTCTTAACGTATTCAAGAGGAATTGTCTTTATGCCTACGGTATCAAACACCTTCAATGAGTGTCCACACAAAATTCCTTCATTCTCGTATTTTTTGCAACTACAATGTACACTTAGATCATTCCGATTGAATACCACTATTCTTTCAGATCCTCCATCATATCTCATGACCGCAAACTCTACAAACATCCCTGCATCTTGTTGTCTCAATATAACCATAGCTGTTGACTCGCCATATTCATTTTGGAATGCAACAAATACGGTGGGTGAATACGTCTCTGCTGCATGTACAAGCACAGGTGTTTGCCTCAACCCAACCATAGGGAGCTTTTGCCTCATTTCATATTCTGCGATGAGTTTATTATGTCTCTTATCATCAATCACTCGATTGAAATGTCTAAAGAACTGCACAAGATCATGATCCAGTTTCAAATGATTTTTAATTGCTACATTTAGGCTTTCGCTAAATTGGGTGCTTTGCATTCCCGCGGTCTATCTTTCTTTCATCATACACCTTACCCACTTATCACGAATTCGATACAACTCGAAAAGTCATTTATTATTTTCAAGATTGTATTTTTTCACCATCGCCTCCCACACCCTATTAAACTGTTCCACTTCTTCAAACTCATACATGCAGGCACCAAACATGTATGGAAGATCACTATTTTTCTTGTAATGATTGCCAAGATGTTTCATAAAATTACGCCTTATGTGAAACGTACATAGACCGTGAAATGTTTCTGGCATGACAACTGAAAGAGCGGCTGTCATGGCGTGATCTTGATCGGTTAATATGGTATTTGGACGCTTTCCGCACATTACTTCTAGAAATGTACCAAATACCCATTTGAAAGAATCTATAGTCTCATCATACATAAGGACAACACCGAATATCACAATTTGCCTATGTTGGTTAAAACCCACAAACACTCCAAGTGGGCGGTATCATTTATTTATTTTGTAGGTTGTGTCGAATGTGACTACGTCTCCAAAAAAGTTGTAATCAATTAACATTCCTACATCAGCCCAAAAGATATTAGTTATCTGCCCTTCACAATTCAGTTGTACGGCATGAAAAAAGGATGGATTCTCAAGTGTTTGCTTTTGAAAATAATTCAGCATGTTACCTGCTTCTCCATATTTCAAACTCCTTTCCCGTCGAGTACGAAGATATCGTTTCAGGTCTTCCCGAGTATATCCCACATTTTCCATCCCACCCGCCTCCTTTCCCATAAACTCATGGCTCTGTTTCAATGAAATCCCAGCATCCTCGCTTGTTTCAACTTGGAATCCTTGAGTCTCACTCACTTTTCTTTGTAATGGCATCATGTGCGAACATTAAGCAATGTGCAACTCATGGTTATGTTCTAAGATAAGGTCATGTACACGGTACTTCATTATCTCTCTAAGCAACACAATAACTATTTTAGTTCCACACCCTGTTTTCGTCGGCGCTCGTGTCCTTTTTGGCATCACATCACCTTCGTACTTGCGTTTTACACCTTCCTTGCAGTAACTATATCTCCTAGACGTCGTCACACCGTCTTTGTCTTTATTTAGATAGTCTTTGCATACATTAAAATCCGTTTTAAAGGCATAGTTGTTGTAAAACTTGTACGCATCCTTTTCACTATTGAACTCCATTTCTAATTCAGGGGTCCTATCTTCTACCAATTTGTTACAATCCATTACTTCTGCTCCTACTAATTATGCATCAAACACCTTAATTTGCAGCAGTTCATGAATGGTATGTACATAAACGACAACATAAATGTATATTACCATTCATAATGTGTTATGTTACACACATTATTCGTATACCAAATCCTATTATTACGTTCATCGATATGATTAATATTGTACAAATACTCGTACACCAAATCCTATTATACTCTAAGACAACGATATTATGTATGTACAAATACAACTCCGTGTACAATAAGTTATACATATTGTAATGTGTTGGTCACATGTTGTAGTATATTTTAACTGTATGTACATCCACTTGGATGATTATATTTAGGTTCTAGGTACTTTGTTCACTGGACCTTATGTCATTCGTCAATGACAACCGCCTAAGCCAACTCCGTATTTTTTACTATTTCTATATTTTGAGGGCCAAATAAGTATTTTCTACTCATTGTAATATATTTATTACATCATGTAATTTACTTACAACACCAGGTACACCCATTTATTATTCACATAGGTCGGTTTTTTCCTCTGTTTTACCTCATTTAATTCTGCACCTCCATTATATACACACTGCATGGTCAGGAGAGAAGGGCAAACTAAGATTGTGTCATGAGTATGGACCAACTATTAGATGCACAATGATTCATATCAATTGTAATACAGTACCTATAACCTGTAACTAATTTACAACAGGATGTACATTCGTTCACTTGTTACATGTGACTTTATTTCTCTCATCTTTCACTAATTCCGCTTGATTTCAATACATACCCCTGGGTCTTCCGATGACTACTATCCCATTATAGTTCATCACTGAAAAGCTAAATGCTCACACACACACACAGATACGGTACAATTTTACTATTCTTCTATCATCTTCATATGATGTCTTCAGTGAATCTAATTTCATCTTTCATTTAACAGATGTGCATTTGGATGACAAATAATTGGCCACAGTTAGTTATATGGTTCTGTCACGTTACCTTCGTCTGCTAATGCACTCTACATTTCACCAAATTCAGAGAGTGCAGCTGCTTCTGCTATTAAGTTGAAGGACAGAATCTGGTGTTTTATGACATGTTGAATTTCCTCTGTTTGCTTCTACCTTCCTGCAAGCCTTGTAAGCATTTAAAATGGATACAACATTTGCTGACCCAGTCACCAAAGTCTCTTCTCAGTTTCTCGGTAACACTCTCAGACGGAAATTGTGTCGAGTTTTCTGAGAAAAAAAAACTAAGATAAGAGTTTTCTGTCAACTCCCTATCTTCAGACGGAGCACGCCAAGTCTCTTCCTTCAGCTCTCTGAATTTTGTGCTACAGTTTTCTAAGAAAGAAAACTAAGATACGAGGTTTCTGAAAAAAGAAAACTGAGCTCCCTATCTTCAGACGGAGTACGCCAAGCCTCTTCCCTCAATTTCGTTTTGTGCGGCTAATTCAAAATTTCAATTTGCTTTTCAAAATTTCAACTCTACCGTTTGCTCCGTCTGATTCCGTTTGGAAGTCCAAATTTTTTAATTTGGAACGGCGTCGTTTTTGCCCCTTCTTAAGCCTTCTTGACGTGGATCATTTTTCTCCTCATGTTTTTGCTTGTGAGAGGACAGTTCAGGAGCGGTCGGCCTGACGACCGCTCCTGCCCCGTATCCGGAATTTTTTGAAAGTGAGAAGACGAGCGCGAGCCTTATATATAGGCTGCTGGGTGCCGCCAAACGGCTATTATTCGCTCGCTAGTGTGGTCCGAATACCAACGGTAAACTCAAACGGATAGATTTGTTACTTGTAATTTGCAAATGACAGACGGGTTTGGTTCCAAATTTCATTTGTCTAACCGGGCTGGAGCACTCATTATGGGCCTCATATTTTATTTTCTTAAAAAAAGTAGTGTATGTTATCCCCAAAAAAAAACGTGACAAAATACAAAGTGAACAATGTATTTTCTAAATTTTTCAATGCTTCTTAACATAATACAAATAAACACTCAGTAGAAGTGACTTAGATACATTGTGGTTAAGGCACACCCAATGTGTGCGCTACTAATAAAAGATATTAAAAATGATTAGCATTATTTTTATTGAAAAATAGTAATTTAAATAATTATACTGTTGTAGTATTTTAAAAAAATGGTAGTTTTTTGTAAGATGAGTGGTAGTTAATTCAATAAATCTGAAACGGTTGTAAGGAGGTGAATAGTTAAAATGATGTAATTTTCTTTAGAATTAAGGGTAAATTAGGCAATACATTAAATGACACGATTTGTTTATATTGAACCCCTCCCTCCCACTTTATATATAGTAAGATATTTGTCCTTACATTTTTTTTTCTTTCTAAAAGTGACCTAGGTGCATTTGTATCAAAATCATTTAATTTCATTGGGGCATAATCTATTCTTTTATTGTACTATGTCATGTGCCAGAATCCAATTTAATTTGTAATTGTTAGGTTGATTGTATTGTATGAGGAAAAGTTGACAAGTAAAATTGACCTACTATAGTGGCAATCATTGGCACTTAAACTCACAAGGTGTTAATAAGTGTTATCCAATATCAAAATATCAAAAAGAAAAAGAATGAAAAAAAAATACTTCAACGAGTGACTCTATTTGCAATGTTATGTTAAAAAATTACAGCAGCGCCCTTTTTATGATGTAATATATGTACTGAAAAGATGAGTATGAAAATAAAAGATATTTGAAATAATGTTTTTCTAACAGGTGCCCATTAAACACTCATTAACATACTTAAATTTTGCTCAATCTACCATATATACACACACATACTACCCTCCCTGTTATTTATATGATTTTCCTAATTAATCTTACTTTTCAAAAAATTTAACATCTAAAGTACATCTTAACAAGTGTCAAACCCATTAAACAGCTCTATTGAAAAATGTATTTGTGATGCAAGCCCAAACATTATTTAAAATTAGAAGTGACAAAATGGATATGTGGTTGATAAATGGTTTTAGTTAAATGGATAGTGGATCAAATTGATCCAATCCAATTAAAACCATTTAATAAATGGATCTAAATAGATGTCATTTAAATGAATAGTGTAAACCATGATCCATCCATTTATCCATTTACTCTCCCAAATCCCAGATTTAAGATCCAAATGTTTTTTTTTCCAAAAAATACAGATCCCTAAAGTTCTATCCTTAAATCACCTAAAACCTTTTGGTAATAACAAATGCTTATACTACTACTCTATTTCAATTCTTCATAAAATTAGTTTAGTTCCAAGAAAATTTAACTGTTGTGGTCAATTTAGCCTTTCATCATTACTTTAAGTATCATTTTATAAAGTAATGGACAATTAAGAACTTTGCTACATTTTTATAACTTTTGGGTGAATTGAATACGGCTTTACAGTGAAAAGAAGTTTACGTTTCCAATTTTTTGTACTCCTGTTCAAGAGGGATGCCTTGAATGAAAGTGGAGTTCTAAAAAGAAATCTTATGTTATTTGAGAAGTAAAATATTTTCATCACATGTGCACGTAGTACCTAAACATGTATGAAACTCCTTATTATACCATTGATATACAAGCTACCTTATATTACTTAGTAAATCAGGTATCTTTTTTTTTTTTTTGATAGTTGGTTGGGTGATAAGGGGGAGAGGGATTGTAAGTATGAGAATTTGGATTCAAAACCTTCCACTTATTAAAAAAAAAAAAAGAAAAGAAGGTGTCATTTACGTATCTTAACCAATGTTGCGGGGACACTCGTTAGAAATTTTTTTTATAAATAAAAGAATTAAAAAAATAAAAATTTATTTTGACACTGCATAATGCATTCTCGCTTTTTCTTTACTTAAGAATGTAAATGTTTGCAATCATTACTACATGAGAGTTTAATTAAAAAAAAAACAAGAGTAGGGACTAAAATATAATTTTGAAAAGGATGGAAGAAGTCTAGGAACTAGAAGCAAATAAAATGCAATTAATGTTATTGGCAACTTCGCATATAAGGAAGTTATGAAGGAAAGAATTGGTGGTCCTACAAAATTAATTTGACATATGAGGAAGTTATGAAGAAAAGAATAGATGGTCCCACAAGATTCTATCCCACTTTTTTTATAAAGGGAAAATCGTCCAAAACGTCCCTCACATTTTGCAAAATGACTTTTTTCATCCTTCACTTTTAAAAATGTAATTTTATGTCCCTTACATATTCACATCGATCAAATTTAATCCCTAACTAGGTTTCCGATCATTTTTGACCGAAATCTATCACGTGCAAGGCACGTGATTATTTTTGAGGGGTAAATTTGTCAAATTATATTTTGCATAATCTGATCTATAGTTCCCCACATTTTATAAAACAAATTTTTCGTCCCTCACATTTTATAAAATGATTTTTTCATCCCTTACATTTCACAAAATGAATTTCTCCATCCTTTACATTTCAAAAAATGAATTTCTCCATCCCTCACATTTCAAAAAATGAATTTTTCATTTCTCACTAATTATGTGTGTGAATACATTTTTTTAAACACATGTATATGTCTATTTGATTTTGGTTAATAATACGAATAGCATAAACACATGTATGTGTCTATTTGATTTCACTTAACAATACGAATACCATATATTATACGTGATCATTTGATTTCATCTGGTATTAGCTAGTAAAAAA